ACTATAATAACTATTTGTCTCATCTGGCTCTCACTTAGCTATATGTACATCTTAAAGCAGAGACTGCTGATAAGAGAAAGCAGTACAGATAGGAATGGGTGACAGATGAGACCCTCCAAAATAACTCAGTCTCTTACTCTTAGATAAGTGATTCTTTTAAGAATCTATATGAAAATAGCTGTTAATTAACCCACGCTGCAGAATTTTGTTTAAATGCCATATTTTTTTATTCAAAACTAAGAAGGTGGTTTCTTCCATTTTCTCACTTTGTTTTAAGGTTTCAACACCAATAATAAAGACCAGTTTAAAATTGAAAATCATAACAGCACAAAATAATTATATATTCCACTAATATACATGTCATCCATCTACACTGATGAGGCCAATGGCCCAAAAAAGCTACATAAGGCATTCTGCAAAACAGCCTTCAAGGGATCATGTACAAGCTGGGCTGGGTGGCAGAGGTCTGAAATCCTGGCTACTCAGGAGGTTGAGGCAGGAAGATACCACTATCAACACCAACCTGGGAATCTTAGCAAAATCCTGTTTCATCAAGTTTAAGAAAAGAAAGTACTAGGAGAGTAGACAGTTTGCCTCATATACAAGGCCCTGGGTTTAACCTCTAGGACCAACAGAAAAGATCATTAATCAAAAGACTTGGATATTGTCAATGCCAGAAATTATGGTTTGAGTGAGGATTAGATAGCAAGAATAAGGTATGTGAATGAAGTTTCAATTTTTGTAAAACTTAGATCAACCACATGAGTTTGACAGCTTCCTCACACTAACAGCCTTTTCTGACATTGAAGGTGAGACTGATGAATGTGATTACTTTTATACTGTAAATGAAATATGTCAACATTTGAAAGATCTGACTCATTCAGTAAGCTAGTATTTTCCATGTGACAAATACATAATGTAATGAAATCAAGTACAGGAGAGGATTCACTCAAAAGGCAAGAAAGATCAATGAATACTAATGTCACAGTATACAGAAAGTTCACTGATGCAGTTGGAGATTCTACATTGTAGCTACTTTCTGAGAAGCTACCACTCACAAAGTTTTAGTATCATATAAAGAGAGTCACAACTACCTAAAAAGGCTATTAAAGTATTCATTCCTTTTTCAACTATGCATCTGTGTGAGAGTGAACTTCCTTCATACACCTGTCATAACAGACTGAATGTAGAAGCAGACCTGACAATCTAATTACCCTACATTAAGCCATATATTAAAGAGGTTTGCAAATCTATCACTATCATTTTGGGGGAAACTTTTTCACAAGAAACATTTTGTTAATATTTAATTGGTTAATATTTTTAAAATAAACTAAGACTTTTTAAATTTCTTTTTTAAGTTCTAATATGTTAAATATCCACAGATTCAATCCTCTTTTCCACTTCCCCAAAATAATCTCTTTGGAGTCTTAATGATTTTGAGGATGTAAAAAAAGAAACGCTAAAAATAAAGGGCACATGCAACAAACTACCCTTAATCTTAGCAGCAGCAACTTACAATAAGATCTATCATTTCACATGGTTTTTGAAGCTCAGCAGCTCTTTCCTGGGGTTATAATGAGCTGCTGACCAGAGTGACAGATTTTAAAGACTTGACTAGAATTGGAGGATGTGTTTCCAAGTTCATTCATGTGATAAAGCTGGCAGGGATCTTAAGGTTTACAGACAATTATATTGATCTCTTTTGTTCCTATTTTTATTTTCTTTCTTGACTTTTCTCATTATAGTTCACAGAACCATTAAGTTTAAGTTATTAAATCAGAGCCAATATATTCATCACATCTTTAAAGGCAAACATTTTTTCAAGAAAATAAAAGCAAGAAGGAAAGTATGGGAGCTGGGGAAATGGCTTGATGGGTAAACTGACTGCTGCTGTGCAAGCATGAGAATGTGACTTTGGAAACCCAACACCCATGCAACTGAACATGGAAGCACACACATGGAATCCTAGTCCTAGGAAGTGCAGACAGAGGGATCTTTGGATTTGTTGGCCACAAAATCTAACTGAATTGGTGAGCTTCAGGTTCAGTGAGATTGTATCTCAAAAACTAAGGTGGAAGGGCCAGCAAGATAGCCAAGAAGGTAAACGTGCTGCTGCCAAGCCTGACAACTTGTGTTTAATTCCCAGAAATCACACAAAGGTAGGAGAGAACTGACCCCACGACAGTCAAAGCTAAGAATGCATAAAGAAGCCTTATAGAATCTGCTAGTTTTTAAGCATGCACACATGCACGCACATGCAGACTCGCACACACACACGTGCACACACACAAAATATGTATGTATAGCTTATAGATGTTTAGTAGAAGTACCCCACTTGGTTAGACAATGGTACTTCCAGAAGACACGGACTATTAAATGAAAATTTCCAATGCCAAACATGGGATACCTTCCTATGAGTTACTGGTTAGAGAAGCCTCAGAGGTACCCCAAACAGCACAGCCCTTGCTCTTGGTTGCCCACCAAAGACCCTACTGCTGAAGACACTACTCGCCCTGGAAACAAGACATAGAGAAATCAACCTAACCTGCTGACAAGATGTGTCCAATGATATAATAGTGGCATGACAGTTATGGTGGTAACCAGCTAAAGGGAGACACCCCCATAGGGCCCAAACCATAAAGTAATTTTTGCTCTACAAACAAGTTCATCCAGGACCCCCATAAAACCGCATACCATAAAGCAATTCTTGCTCAGAAAACAAGTCCCCCTGATACCCCCATAAATCCCAACCATAAAGTGGTTTCTGCTCCACAAGCAGGTCCTGCTCTGCTAACAAGTCCTTCCAAGACCCTTGGGGGTGGAGGAATGCAGGCCCTAAAACCTTTCTCCAACTCCCATGACTCTATTTACATAGACAAACATAATTAAGCTCTCCTGCTGTTCTACCAGTGTGGCTACTGCAGGCTCCCACTGGTCAGCTGTCATTCCTCATTGATTTACAAAGGTTAATTTAGATTGTGGTTGCTTTTCCTTTCCACATACAACTCTTTCAACTCTTAATCCTAACAACCAGCCACTTCTTGATTGGATATGAGCCCTGCTCCACAGGAGGATTTTCATGCCTGATACTGTAAATCCCATCAAAAGCCCGTTGACCACTTACAGGGAGATCATAGGCTCTAGAGGGGAATCTACCATTGTTTTTTTCTTAGATGGTCAAGCTGTCAAACTACATTCTAAATATTTATGTTTATAGATGTGTGCTACTCTCAACTTTAGTCAGAAAAGCTTCTTTTTGCAGTGGGTAGTTGGTTAATGCAGACACTCATAACTGGACAAAATGCCAATATAAATAATTCTAAGTGCTCAGCTGTGGATGGGTCATATATATCAACCTCCCACCATCCAAGCATCAGGGAACTTCACAGAAGAGGGATCAGAAACAATGTAAGAGCAAGTCAATAAGGAGGAAACCTATAAAATGCTGACTTCTGGATATAACATGGCTGGTGCATGCATCAAATCAAAGCAGCTGTGCATATCTGCACAAGACTTGTACAAGATAAAGTCAATCAAAATTCTAGCATGGATATACATCCTTATCAGAGGAGAAGTTACTGGTAGCCGATGGCTGCTAAGGGAGGGCAAATCACTCTCCCTTGGGGACACAGATGCTGGTAGGTTGCACACACACCCATATGCATATGGGCAGCACTAATTACTCTATATTCAAAGAATTAATAACAACTACAACAAAAAAGACATAAGGTTGGGAGGGAGAAGAGGAGGAGAGCACTAGGGGGAATTGAACGGAGGTAGTAATAGACATGATCAATATACATTGTATAAACATATAAAATTTTCAAAGTATAAATATATATATTAAAAATAATTTCCTATAATAAAAAACTATAAAAAATAATTTTTAAAGGTAGAGAGTGGCTGAGGAAGACATGTGATGTCAACCTCTGGCCTCCATACACACATGCAAAGGCATGCAAACCCAAACACACATGTGCCCACAGACATATTAGTCACACACACAATGTAATAATACTAATGCCTTTCTGTCCCCAAATTAAACATTACTGCTGCTCATTTATTTAAAAAAAAGACAGAAAATATTAACATTTTAAACACACACATACACACACACACACACACACACACCACACCACACACAAAAGATGCCAGAAATGTTGGCACATGCCAGTAATTCTAGTCCTTCAGAGGCTAAGGCAGAAGATTATGACTTCGAGGCTAGCCTGGGCTATGTATTATGTTATAGGTCACACTCAGCCAAAAATCAAGAATCTATCTCAAAAAAAAAAAAAAACTAAAACAGTAAAAAGAACAAAGTTGGAAGTTTAGTACTTTCTAATTTCAAAAGCTTACAAAGTTAATAATTAAACTGTGGTACTGGCATAAGGAGAAGTAAAGACCTAGGGAACATGGTGTCCAGAAATAAACATTCACATACATGGTTGTTATGGTCTTAATGTTTTTATCCCTCCCCACCCCTGCCAAAGTCATATGTTGAAATCCTAACCACTAAGGCTAAAGTCTTAGGAGATTTGGCCTTTGAGAGGTTATTAAGTTTACAGTAAAGTTTCACAAATAATTTTAATGCTTCTATTAAAAAGAAATGGACTCAAGAGATCCCTCATCTCCCTCTCTCAGGTGAGGATACAAAAGAAAGCATCATCTATGAACCAGAAAGCAAATTCTATCAAGATACAAAAATCTACTGGTGCCAAGTCATAGAAATACAAAAAAGAAGGGTCGTTGCCTAGAGCTCAGGAAAGGGACAAATGGGGAGTTGTTTAATGAATGCAAAGATGCAGTTTTGCAATATGAAAGAGTTCTTGGAAACTGGTTTGTACAACATGTAAATGTATGTAATACTAAATAAACACATACAGAAAATATGTTATCTAGTGTTAGTATAGTATAAATAAAATATACAAGATTTAATGTAGATAAAATCTATTTACATATACATACTATATATATAAAAAATATATATTTAAAATTCTCACCTGGTTTTTTTGTGTTAATTCATTAACTGAACTTTTAAGTTTCTGTAGTTCCTGCACATACACTGCAACTTCCTGGGGGCCTTTGGCAAGTTCACTCTTTAGCTGGCTTATTGTAGCCTGAAAAATATAATAAAAATTACAGCAAACTAAAAGAAAAAAGAAATGGAAGTAAACAAAAGTGTTAATATTATATAAATGCTTGCTCTTGTTGATGTAGTTCAATTGAAATAATACTTGAATCTCAATTCTTTATTCTAACACCCTTAATATTTCTATATCATACTTTTTGTTTAAAATTAATTTTAAAATTTATCCAACATAAACTTCATTTATTTAATAATATATTAATAAAATGCTGATATCTGACTTTATCTTCTGTAAACATCAAACTAAAAATTTTAACTTATTGGTTTTAAACCTGTACTTTAAAGACTTTTGAATTTAAAAAAGGAAAACCATGTTATGTCTACATTTTTTCCCAGCTTCTGGAATAGTAACTTTTCCTTTGAAGACATGCCACACAGATTGATTTGGGTGAATCGTCCTTCTGACTGAAATATGAAAGTGCATTTATCCAAAGTTACACGATGTTTAATCAAGCTACATCACTCTATGATCAGGTATAATAGTTGGACATAAACGTGTTTTAATACATCTAAACATGTTTTTAAATGTGAAAATTGATGTTTATTACTCAGATAGCTTGATCATTTAAAATATAAGATAAAACCAAGTAGGCAAATATCTTGAAAATTCACATGAAAAGGCAACCATTAGAAAGATAAGCTACAACAAATGACATTTTTCAAAAGAATTTTATATTTCTAGTATTTCCTGCTAGCTCTACTTTTTACATAGTTAGTAATTTCCATTGTGTATATTCTTTATAATGAACAAATTTTATGATATGACTAAAGACATAATTTTATAATACAAAAAAGACACAAATTTTAGTTTATACATAAATATCACAAATTTGTGCTTACAGTGTCAGAGAAGAAACCACAGAAGACAATTGATTTCTTGTGACAGTAATATCATTCATTGTTCAGTAGATTTTCAATACTTTTTGGGATACCCTTCCAGAGTACACAACTTATTTTTTTTAAAGGATTCTCAGTGGTTCAATATCTTCATTCAGTTACAATAGCTTCAATTTTAAGTTTTAGAAATAACTTTTTTTTGGTCTTTTTGAGACAGGGTCTCCCTGTAGCCCCAGCTGTCCTGGAGCTCACTACATAGACCAGGCTGGCCTTGAACTCACAAAGATCCAAACAAGTTAATAACTAAACTCAATGATTACTTGGGCTTACTTTATAATCATAAATTAATAAAACAAAAATTTTTAAATAAACGTGAGCACTAATTTTTATAATTTACTCAATAGGAAAAAGAAAGATGTAAAAATATGGAGAAATACGTCATATAAGAGCAGGCATTGACTCTTCAGAGATAAAATAGTTCTTGCTGCCTAGTATGCATTCAAAAAATACTCCTTAATGAGTAATCATGCTCAAAAATTTAATATTTATTCTCACAGAAAATATATGAGACCCTATAAAAATTTCATTTCTTTGATGCTATGTCATTGAATTTAACATTAAGTTTTTAGTGTAACCTTTACTTTACAAATAATTAAGGAAAAAAATACCAGACATCTTACTAGAACTTTAGATTTTATAATTACTGCTTTAATAGTATACTGCTATTAAGAAATAATTTTAAATGGATGGAAATTTCTTTGATTAACAAAATAAAAATGAACATGTTTGTGAGGTTCTGAGGTTGCCTAAAAACAACAGGAAAAGGTGGTATATAAGGACATTAACAATATAAACAAGCCTTCCAAAAGCACATTACCTCAAATTTAAGCATCTCCATTAGAAAGCAGAAAAAAAAATAATAAAATGATGGATGAAAGATGGAAGACAAGACCGACAAACATGTACACTAAGAACACAATAAAAATGTCCAAGTATACTTACAAACATGATCTCTTAAAAGAAAACATGTACTTTAAAATACACTCAAATAACTATGCATGGTTATAATCATACTTACTAACATTTATGTGCTCAAAATTAGTATAAATGAGATTATTTGAAATACAAATAAAATTCTTTAAAGACATTTCCATTAAAGACCACAACAAATGTAAGTTCACTGATTCTTTGATATTTTCAGTTCTTTTTATAAATTGCACTTTAAAATGTTTAAATCTTCTATCTCCAATCTATAAAATAGTGATTTATTAAATACTTTCAAATGCTTTATAATGAAAAAATATATTTTCAGCTGTGCATGGTGGTGCGTGCCTTTAATACTAGCATTCAGGTGGCAGAGGCAAGAGGACTCTGTGAGTTCAAGATCAGCCTGGTCTACATAGCCGGTTCCAAGTTAGCCAGGGCTACATAGTCTGTCTCAAAAAAAAATATAATAATAAAATAAAATATAAATAAGTAAAAGTAAAAATGAAAAAAATTATACTTTCAATGAAAAAAATGTGATTTTAATAATGTACCTCAGTTGACATATCTTCAACACTAACTAGACTAGTTGATAAATCCTTGTACCTACAGCTTCTTTAATGGCTTTTAATATTTTTGCTTCTGATGCTAATGTTTACATTCAGTAAAATGAGCTGCATGTATAACAATTTTTTCTAATAAATTCCATAAATGCTGTCACTCACCAATAAACTTAACTTGAGAATATACAGAAGTGAGTTTTAATAAATCAATAAAGTGTACCACACATTCAGAGTAAGCAGAAACTAAAAACTCAGTGAAGTGACAAATACATGAGATGAAGCAATTATAACTAATTTTTCAATATGGAAATGGTATAAGATACAACTTAAACTATTTTAAGCTATTACTCAATACAAATAAAATAAACAACTCGCCAAAACACAAAAGTAATGACAAATATTAGGACAAAATTAGTAGCACAAAAAGTCTGGCATGATGGCTCACGCCTATATAGTGAGTTCTAAGTTAATCTAGGCTAGAGTGAGATCCTGTCTCAAAAAAACAAAAACAAACAAGCAAACAAAAAGATTAGTAGTACAAATTTACTTACAAGGCAATCATCAGATCACCTAAAACAGGAGACAAGATATAACAGGAACATGGGCTTTGAATAAGATCTAGCTCAAATTCCATCTTCTTTATTTTAGAGGTACAACCTTGAAAACCTGACTTAACCTCATTGAACCTCAGAGTCCTAATATGTAAAACAAATTTAATAACTTTAGAGGGCAGTAAGAAAAAAATGAGACTACATATTTAAAATACCTAGCATGGTATCCAAAATCTGCTAGTGGAGTACCCAAACTCTACTAGTGCTCAAAAAAAAAAAAAAAAAAAATTCATTTCAGCAGTAGTATTAGTCTGACTTTTCTTAAAGTTATTACAAATATTTTAATATAGCTTGAAGGCCCAGTCGTGACTGTACATCTATTAATTCATTAACTGGTAAGTTAAATGTTATCCTTAATTCACTAAAAATAGTTTAAATAGCAAATAACTTATTCAATTAATCAGCAAGAATAAATGTTCTTCCAAATTTACTATAAAATATCTGAAAGGGTAATTTTTATGGAAAGCTGCATAAAGCTGAGTGCAAAGAACAGAACGGTAAGTCACTTTCTTTTTCTTTTATTATTTTTTTAAAATTTCTTTTAATAGTAGAGCCCGATACTCCCTCTGTAGATCAGGTTGCCCTTGAACTCAGAGATCTACCTGCCTTTGCCTCCAAAATGTTGGCATTAAAGGCATGTGCCTCCATGCCCCCACTCTCCTTCTTCCCCCAAGCACATTTTTTTCTAGAAAAAAAAAAAAAAATCATTGTTTCCTACAATTCTACTTACTGGAGGACCCATTCCTTTACCCCAAATCTTTTTTTTTTTTTCAGAGGGGAAGTTGAGACAGGGTCTCCCTGTAGCCCCAGCTGGCCTGGAACTCCCTATGCAGACCAGGCTGGCCTCCAGCTCATAGAGACCTGCTTGCCTCTGCCTCTCAAATGCTGGGAATAAAAATGTGCACCATCATACCAGACACGTGACAAATCTTAATTTCAGTCAAAACTTTTTCACTGTGAATAATCTCTTCCTCAGTATAACAGATATTTTCATCTAAATGAATAAAAATACAAGTTTACAAACCCCTCCAAACTAAGCTGATAGTAGGTCTTAAATATTATTCAAAAATATTTTCCCATTATCAAATTATAGTGTGTTCTCACTACTAGCAGTCTGTCCTGCAAACATTCCTGAGTGCCTTCATTACCTCTGAGTTAGCACATTCTGATTGTAACTTTTTGCATTCATCTTTGAGTTTTTCAGATTCTCTCTCACGTTCCAAGGTCATATTATCCATAAGCGTTTGAACTTGAACCAGTTCTTTCTTTAGCACCGCAACATCTTCTATACCAGGTCTCTGAAGCTGTGAATCCACATAAATGTTAATTAAATATTACCGTAAAAACCAAAACAATATACATTTTTAGACTAGTTCACTAAAAAGAAATAAAAATAAAAACAATCATTCTTATCAATTTTTTAGATTCCAAACATCTAACACTGACTGACATCTTCCCTTAAAAAGCCAACCTCCTCTTTGCACCCTGTCTAGTTAACAGTGTTCTCGGGGTGCTACCTAGCAAACTCACAATTGGCTTTGGCTTTTCATATCCACAACAAAATGCACATCACATTAATTCTAACAATGACTTGATATATTCCTTTTCTACTCTAAGAAACTAGAATGAAAATAAAGAAGCAATATAGTTCAGGGGTAGAGCTCTTGCCTAGCCATGGGTCAATTCTAAGCATTGCACCATTTTTTTTATATTTTATTTATTACTTTTTATTTTTTACTGTATTAGTGTATTGCCTGCATGTATGTAAGTACAATGCTCACGGATGTCAGGAGGGCATCAGATCCCCTGGAACTGGAGTTACAAATGGTTGTTAGCCACCAGGTGGGTGGTGGGAACCGAACCTAAGTCCTCTGTAAGAGTAGCCAGTGCACTTAATCGCTGAGCCATCACTCTAGACCCCCAAATTACTTTTTAAATGAATAAAAAGGTGCAGGTGTGGTTGGAGAGATGGCTCCGTGGTTAAGAGCAATTTTTCTTACAGAAGACCTGGATTCAAATCCCAGTCCCCACATGGCAGCTAACAACCATCCATAACTCCAGTTCCAGGGGATCTGATGCCCTCTTCTAGCCTCCATCACACACATCAAATAAAAAAAAAATTAAAAAAATTTTAAAACATGCAGGCATTTTTAAGATTACTTGTGGTTGATTAATTTATCCATAGATTTATCAAGTGCTATATAAAGGAAAAAAGATACCAAGGATAGATCTAAGGTTGTAAAGACTAAGGAGAGTATTGAACTACAGTGTCAGTGACAAATATAGTCTTGGTAGAAATATGATGAACTTAATTTCATACTTGTTGAAATGAAAGCAAGAAATTCCTAAAAGTAGGAGGGTTTATGAAATTAAAGTGTGAGGGAATGGTAGCACCAGAAATGCAAATACAAAAAATACTAAAAAAAAAAAACATGTTACATAGGTAGAAACAATAATGTTAGGTAAGTTATATGTCATAACTCATTTTTATTTTTAAAAAACATACAAGGTGCATATAAATGGCAGCATATAAGGAATTTTTTATTACCTCCAATTTATTAAACTATTTTTAAAATATTTCTTCAGAGCATGCATTCATTCTCTTTGTATTCACTCCCCCCTCAATACTAGGGATTGAACCCATGGCCTTATACATACTAGCCAAGCACTCTACCACTTAGTTATATCCCTAGCACCACATGTATTTCAATTCAATTAGGAAACAATAAAAGAACATTATAATAAATGGTTCCTTAAATTACCAGTTCCGTTTTCAGATCCTGAATTACAGTTGTCTGTTTGTTCAATTCTTCTGTCAAATGTGTCACCTTTTGTTCAGCAGCTTCTCGAAGACTCCTTTCCTCATCGTATTTTGACTTTATATCTAATTAAAGATAGTAATGTAAGTATTAGTTTCATGGTGTCAATTCTAAAGGACAGTTTTATAAATTGCCACATACTACTCTACATGCCTGTACACTCTTAAGTCAGGTTCACATTCGTTAAGTATCTGTAGATACACACAACAAAATTATGATTATATTAAACTCCACCCAACACTATCCTACTATTTAGTATTTTACTGTATATAGACTATTTTACAAAAGTATAAAAAATATAGTATGCAAAAATGATAGTATAACCAAGTGTTAAATTTCTACTATATTATATAATCCATTTATTTAAATGCCACTTTTTAATTGTTAAGTATATCAAAAAAGAAAGTTTATCTTCTTTAAATTTCAATAAGAATCTACAAAGAAAAAAAGAGTCCACTGAAGGGAAGAAGTAGAAGGATGAACAAAATACTTTATACAGCAACTCATATTGTAAAACTACATTAATCATGTCCATAACAAACACTAAAATACTAGATGGTTTCCTAGGATGTATAGGATTAAAAAGGTAGTGAAACTGATTTATTGGGTAAAAAAAAATTCTGATTCAGCATACCTGCAATTTCAGTAGCAAGTTGGGCTGCTTTCTGTTCAAATAAATCTTTCATCTGCTTAATATTAAAATTTTCTGTGTGGGCTTCTTCTAATTGTTGTTCTAAAGACTGTAGTTCTAGAAAAGAATATAGCAATTATTTAAATACAATGCTAGTTACATAGACTAACTTGCTATTTCTTATGTCACAAACATTTAGTAAAGACAACTCAACATGAGTCTATTCTCTAAATTACAAGTATTTCACACTTCAAACTATTAATCATATCTGATTCACTTAAGGCGCAAGTCACAATTTATAAATGTAATTTACAAGTTAAAGGATAATTAGAATAACCTCAAAATATAAATATTTGGAAATTTGTTTTTTGCTTTTTTTGAGACAGGGACCTATTTTATAAATAAGTCTAAACTAGAACTTGTGATCCTCCTGTCTCAGTCTCTTAAGTGCTGGGATTACAGACATTCACCATCACACCCATTGACTTCGTATTTCACACTTTCTTACCTCATAAAATAAAAAAGGAGCATATACTGTTCCTCAGGTAAAGTTATAAAGTGAAATGAAATCCAAAGTAGTTAAGAACAAAAAAAGATTAAAGTGTACAGTCAATACCTGCTGCTGCTGCTTCATTCTTGTACAAATTTCTTAAACATAACAGCTAATCTCCATGCTTCATTTTGATTATTCACTGAGCATTCATTCCTTCATTTAATGGCAGCTAGAAATATGCTAGTCCCATCAGTTTACTTCAAGGGATAAAGACTGCATCACATACTTTAATATAGATTTGAATTTTCATTAAGCAATTAATTGTAGTAATATTCCAGAAATTTATTAATTTCAAAATATAATGAACTCGGTAACTGAGTAAACAGTGAAGGGCAGAGGTAACTTTCTAAAGCAAAAGCATAATCACAATTTTCACTGTTTTAAAGCTATCAAGTACAACCATAAACAAAATTTCTTTATCAGGCATTTAAAAAAATGAGAAAGAAAAAAAGAAAAATGAAAAACTCTGTTTCAGTTACCTGCTGATGAATCGGCCACCAATCCATCAGATCTAGCCTCCTTAATGAAAACAAAAGTCATAAGCAAATGTAGTAAGAGAAGACAACACTGTATAATTGGCAATGTTAAAAGTCTCTGAAAGGCATGTCTGTCAAGTTAAGCAACAAAATTTTAATGAAAATTAAAGTTAGATAGTCTCATTTTTTCATATCTGTATCATCAGATGACTAGCATGATTTCACTGCAATTGAACATTCTAAGAACTTCTGCATATTTATACAAAACTCTTAGTGTCATGAAATAGATATCATCCCAAACTCCATAAATTCAGTAATATGTAAATAATAGAACTTCCCCTCATATTGCATCTCATATGTGAGGTACTAACCTTGACTATTAGACTGCAAATATGTAAGTTTAACAATTTGACAGATGCTTTGAGAGCTTAGCTATGACAGGCAGTTAAGTACTCCATCAGTTGCTGACTGCTTCTCCAAAGCTCAAGCTGTGAAAAGCTCACACCCCGTTAACCTCTAAACTTTAAAAGTCTTGCCCATCCAAAAGCCTACAGTGCCCTCTATTGGCAAAGGATTCTTGTTATCATAGCTCTCCTTGCCAGAAAGTATCACTCTCAAGAAACCACTCATAAAGGTACACCTCAATTTTAATTAGACTTTACATTTCACAAAAACTTGTAGTTGAGAAATTATCAATAGACTTTAATAGTTGTAGAATTCACTACGTGGTTAACATACTTCATCTCTTGAGTATATTTCCCATGAGAAATATACTCTCTCCTTCCTTAAACATTGTGAACTTAAGGGAAAAAGTTGTATAATAATAAACTACGTGATTCATGAAATCATACCTCAGTCATCTTACTGTAACCATACAAAACACCTAGAATATCTGAAAATTAACATAAGCTTACATATGCCATCAACTACCACTACCAAAATAAAAACCAGGACTGAAGACAGGTCAGTGTCAGAGGATTTGATTTGCCTTAGCACACAAGGCTCCTGGGCTCTACCTCCAGCACTGCTCTTCCCCCACAAAAAAATAATTTAAAAACTAAAATAGATTTTAAATCAAGATCATAAATCAGCTTTAAAAGAAAAATAAAGGGCTGCCATGATGGCTCAGTGGTAAAGGCACCTGTCACAAAGCCTAATGGCCTGAGTTCAGTTCCCATGGTCCACATGGGAGAAAGAGAATCCACTCACCCAGGTTGTCATCTGACCTCCACATGCATGCTGTGGCAACATACATGCATATATACATACATACAAATATACATACATACAAATAAATGTAGAAAACAGAAATTCCTTAAGGTTAAAGTTATTCAAGCAGTGGGAACAAAATTAATATAGCTCTTTTACATTATTTTCATATTTTGAAGAATTATACCCATCACAAAGAGTAAGGCATTTCACAATAAACCTGATGTTTTATTTCATGACATATTGGATTCAGACTTACTGACTGCTAAGAATAAGCAATACTTAAAATGAATTTGCTTCCAAAGGTAAATTTATTTGAGAGTTAAGTTATACCCTGCACTGTAGAGAATTTATTTAAATTTGTTAATTGTGACATGTTGGCACATGCTTGTAATCCCAGTACTCCAAAGGTGGAGGCACAGGAAAATCGGGAGTTTCAGACCAGCCTCAGCTACATAGCAAATTTGAGGCCAGCCCAGGCTAAATGCATGAGATATTACTTTAAATATATATACATATATATTTATATCAGTATATATAAACATATACTTATATCATTATATATAAATATATACTTATATATATATTTATCTGTCTGTGCCTGTGTCCAGAAAACTCTGTGTATGAGTGTGTGTGTGTGTGTTATAAATATAAACAATCATCTCAAATGTAGTTAACAGTTTCCTCTTGATTTTAAAGTACAGAAAATAACACTGTCCATGTTTGACAGACAAACTATAAATACTGAAGAATACTAAAGTGTGTGTGACACCATACCAAACTTTAATGTCTCTTTGAAAAGTAATAAGACAGTTATCTTTTAACTCATTGACTTGTTTCTAACTTTCTCAATTCAGATTGCAATTTTTGCTAGAAAAATTTAAATGGAAAAAAAAACTAAAAATCGCAATGTGGAAAAAAATCACAATGTGTATAAGTGAATTTTAAATCACTTCATAAGTTACTGAAAGGTGTCTTCTTTATTTTTAAAAACAAAGACCTATCTGAACTTGGTAAAATTCATTATTTTTGTTTTTATAATGTTATCATAAAGCCAAAGTAATTTTAGCATGAAAATCACATTTTGATAAGGCACTTAGAACCCACATATAACCACTTTTAAAATCAACATGACTTTGTTTTTTTTATATGTATTTTTATATAGTTAAACTCCTACTAACACAGAATATTAATAGTCCCACATCACATAACATTTCAATGACTGACTTCATATATGATTATGGAGCTGAAAATTTTCTAGTACCCAGTGACAAGGTAACATCTTAGTGCAATGCATTACCCACTGTTTGCTCTGATGCTGATATAAATATCCTACTGTGCTGCCAGTCATATAAAAGTATAGAACAGAAAATTATTATAGGTAGTATATAAGACTTGATAATTACAGTAAGCAATTTTGACTACTGTATGCGTTTACTATACTGTTGTTTTTTTGGTCTTTTTGAGACAGGGTCTCCCTGTAGCCCCAGCTGTCCTGGAACTCACAATGTAGACCAGGCTGGCCTTGAACTCACAGAGATCCACCTGCCTACCTCTGCCTCCTGAGTGCTGGGATTAAAGGCGTGCATCACCACGCCCAGCCCCTATACTGTATTTTTATTGGTATGTTAGAATATTCTCTGCCTACTTTTTAAAAAGTTAACAGTGAAAAAACATCAGGAAGTCTTTGTGGGAAGTTCTCCAGAAGAAGGCACTGTTATCACAGAGGGCAGCTCACTCTATCCCTGCCCTTGCAGACCTTCCAACAAATCAAGATATGGAATACTTGAGTTGAGCCTATATATTCTTAGACATATTTTCAAGAAAAAAATGGAGTAACATAAGCTTGGTATTAAAAAATTGGTAAGTGATTCTTCTTTCTTTTCTTCTTTTTTTCTTTTTGTTGTTGTTTTGTTTTTTGAGGCAGGGTTTCACTATGTAGTCTTAGCTAGCCTGGAACTTGCTATGTAGACTACCCCTGGCTGGTCTCAATCTCACAGTGATTAACCTGCTTCTGCCTCCCAAGTGCTACGATTAAAGGCATGAATCATCACAGTCAAGCTCTTTTTATTTTTTAAATATTTACGTTTTTAGATTATGAGTATATGTGTGCCTGTCTTTCTGTGGATATGCGTGCATGAGTGCAGGTGCTCACAAAAGAAGAAGGTGTCAGCTCCTGGAGTTGGAGTTACAGATGGTTGTGAGCCATCAGATGTGGATGCTGGGAACCAAACTCAAGTCCTCTGCAAGAGCAGCAAGTATACTTAACTGCTGAGCCATCTCTCCAGCCTTCCACCTCCCTTCCTCCCTTTTTGAAACATGGTTTTGCTATGTAGCCCGGGTTGTTCTTGAATTCACAATTCTCCTGGCCCTTCCCCAAATGCTGAGATTACAGATATGTCCCACCACACCTAACATAATTCTTCTTTTTTTTTTTTTTGAGACAGGGTCTTACTATGTAGTCCTGGCTGGCCTGAAACTATGCAGACCAGGCCAGCCTCAAACTCACAGAGATCTTCCAAGTGCTGGGATTAAAGGGAAACACAACCACACCCTGTATAACTAATTCTTAATGAAGCACCTTTAAGAGTTACACCTTTCTTAGAGTATTTGCTTCCCTTCATTAGTATTACAAACACTATCCTACAGGCTGTTAAACAGAAAAATAAATTAAGAAGTTACTGATATCAACTCACTTATAAAAAAGTATTTTATACTTAATCTTCGACAATGAAAATAAACAACTAATAAACATGCTTAATACTTTAAAATGCAATTACTTGCTGCTGTAGCCCTTGATATTTTCCCAATTCTTTCTTTAATTCTTCTGAGTACCATTTTTCTTCCTGATGAGAAAGAGTTGAATTAGTAAATTTTAAATGATTTTTTAATCTGAAACTCTGAAAATGAACAAGTATTATCATTTTTATTCTTACCTTAAGTGAGGCCTGTAGGTCTTGGACCTCTTGCCTGAGTAGTGTTATATCATCTCTAAACATGTATGGGGAAGAAAAGAATAAGTTCATTTCCTTTAATGTACAAGCCTAACATGATAACTTGTAACTATTAATATTGGAGCTGTAACAATTATTAAAAAAAACATTGAAAGTTTTATATATAAAAGTATTTATGTATATAAAGAAAAATAGTTT